CACCAATTAAAAGACATAGAGTGGCAGGATGGATTAGAAAATTGAACCCAACATTCTGCTGCCTGCAAGAAACACATCTCAATAGTCAAAGCAAACACAGACTCAGAGTCAAAGGCTGGAAAACAATCCTACAGGCAAACAGCTCCCATAAAAAAGCTGGGGTAGCCATCCTAATATCAGACCACATCGATTTCAGAGTGAAGAAGGTCATAAGAGACAGTGAAGGCCATTTCTTATTGATCAAAGGATCTGTACAACAGGAAGAACTTACAATAATAAATGTATATGCACCTAATGAGAGACCAGCAAAGTACTTAAAACAACTACTCATAGATTTGGAAAAAGTCATCAATAGCAACACAATACTAGTGGGAGACTTCAACACTGCTTTGTCACCTCTTGATAGATCAACCAGACTCAAGCTTAGCAAGGACATACTTCATCTGAGGGAAACAATGGAAGAAAGGGACTTAGTAGATATATACAGGACACTTCATCCACAAAAAGCTGAATACACATTCTTCTCAAGCGTACATGGAACATTCTCAAAGATAGACCACATGCTGAGCCACAGAACATGCGTCCATAAAATTAAGAAGGTAGAGATTGTATCAACAATCTTCTCAGACCATAATGCGCTGAAATTAGAAGTAAATCACACACAAAAACAGAAAACTAAATCAAACACCTGGAAATTAAACAGTGCACTATTGAACAACGAGTGGATTAGACAGGAAATCAAAGAGGAAATCAAATGATTCCTAGAAACGAATGAAAATGAGAACACGAGTTACCAAAACTTATGGGACACAGCAAAAGCTGTGTTAAGAGGAAAGTTTATAGCTCTACAAGCATTCCTCAGGAAGGAGGAGCGAGCACACATAAGCAACCTAACCTCACAGCTTAAGAGCTTGGAGAAGGACCAAAGAAAGGAGCACAACCCGAACAGGAGAAAGGAAATAATAAAACTCAGAGCAGAAATTAACGAGATGGAAACCCAAAAAACAATCTGAAAGATCAATGAAACCAAGAGCTGGTTCTTCGAGAAAATTAACAAGATCGATAAGCCTCTAGCAAAACTCACAAAGAAAGGGAGAGAGAAAACCCTAATAAACCGAATCAGAAAGGAAAAGGGGGTCATTACAACAGAAACTACAGAAATTCAAAGGATCCTCAGGGAGTACTTTGAGAAGCTTTATGCCACGTAACATCAAAACCTCAAGGAAATGGATAAATTCCTAGACTCCTACAGATTCCCAAGGCTTAACCAAGAAGACCTGGAATACCTGAACAGACCTATCACCATAAAGGAAATTGAAATTGTAATTAAAAGTCTCCCCAAACACAAAAGTCCTGGCCCGGATGGAGTCACTAGTGAATTCTTCCAAATCTTTAAAGAGGAATTACTCCCAATCCTCTTTAAGCTTTTCCACGAAATTGAAATATCAAAAACACTTCCGAACAGTGTCTACGAAACAAATATCACACTGATACCAAAAGCAGACAGAGATAACACAAAAAAAAGAGAATTACAGACCGATATCCCTGATGAACACAGATGCAAAGATCCTCAACAAACTACTAGCAAATAGAATCCAACTACTCATCAAAAAGATCATACACCATGACCAAGTAGGATTCATCCCAGGGATGCAAGGATGGTTTAACATTCGGAAATCAATCAACATAATCCATCATATCAACAAAAGAAAAGATAAAAAGCATATGATTATATTAATAGATGCAGATAAAGCATTTGACAAGATCCAGCATCCCTTTATGATGAAAACCCTAGCCAAAATGGGTATAGAGGGCACCTTCCTCAACATAATTAAAGCCATCTACCACAAGCCTACAGCAAGCATCATCCTCAATGGGGAAAAACTGAGAGCCTTCCCTCTAAGATCAGGGATGAGACAAGGATGCCCACTATCTCCACTGCTGTTCAATATAGTACTAGAAGTATTTGCAATCCGATTAGGCAAGAAAAAGACATTAAGGGCATTCAGGTAGGAAAGGAAGAAATAAAGCTCTCACTATTCGCAGATGATATGATACTCTACTGAGAGAACCCAATAACCTCCACCAAAAAACTCCTAGAAACAATAGACTCGTAAAGTAAAGTTGCAGGCTATAAAATCAATACCCAAAAGTCCATGGCTTTCCTATACGCAAACAGTGAGAGAGAAGAAAGCAACATGAAAAAAACAATCCCGTTCACAATTGTGCCCCAGAAAATCAAGTACCTAGAATCAGCTTAACTAAGGAAGTAAAGGACCTGTACAAAGAAAACTACAAAACGCTACTTCAGGAAATAAAAGCGGACATGAGGAAATGGAAAGATATCCCCTGCTCATGGGTCGGGAGACGTAACATTGTCAAAATGGCAATACTACCGAAAGCATTGTATAAATTCAATGCAATCCCTATAAGGATACCCATGACATTCTTCAAAGAAATGGAGCAAACACTCCTGAAATTTATATGGAACAATAAACCCCCACGAATAGCTAAAGCAATTCTTGGGAAAAAGAAAATGGGAGGAATCAACCTCCTGAACTTCAAACTGTACTACAAAGCAGTATTAATTAAAACAGCATGGTACTGGAACAAAGGCAGAACTGCAGACCAATGGAAGAGGGCTGAATACACTGACATATCCCCTCAATCATATGATCATCTAATCTTTGATAAAGGTGCAAGTAATGTGAAGTGGAGTAAGGAAAGCCTCTTTAACAAATTGTGCTGGCATCACTGGACGGCTATATGCAAAAAATGGGCTCAGATCTCTGCCTAACACCATGTACAAAAGTAAGATAAAAATGGATTAAAGACCTCAACATCAGACCAGAAACCATAAGGTACATTGAAGACAAAGTTGGCAAAACCCTCCATGACATTGAAGCTAATGGTATCTTCAAAGATGCCATGCCACTGGCCGAGCAAGTGAAAACAGAGACAGATAAACGGGACTATCTTAATCTAAGAAGCTTCTGCACCTCCAAAGAAACAGTGACCAAAATACAAAGACAGTCTACAGAATGGGAAAGGATATTCACCGAATACACATCTGACAAGGGGTTGATATCCAGGATATAAAAAATACTGGTTAAAATCCACAAGAAGAAAACATCCAACCCCATCCAAAAATGGGGCAATGAAATGAACAGAAACCTTCTCAAAGAAGAAATCCGAATGGCAAAAGAGCACATGAGAAAATGCTCTACATCATTAATCGTCAGGGAGATGCAGATCAAGACCACAATGAGATACCATCTCACACCTCAGAGACTGGCTCACATTCAAAAGAACAAAAGCAACCGATGCTGGCGCGGATGTGGCGAGAAAGGGACACTCCTTCACTGTTGGTGGGAATGTCGACTGGTTCAGCCCTTCTGGAAAACAGTATGGACGATTCTCAAAAAAATTAGAAATTGAGCTCCCATTTGACCCAGCAATACCACTCCTGGGAATATATCCCAGAGAGGCAAAAATGTATAGTCGAAGTGACATCTGCACTTGTTTGTTCATTGCAGCACTCTTTACAATAGCCAGAAACTGGAAGAAACCTGAATGCCCAAGAACAGATGACTGGTTAAAGAAACTTTGGTACATCTACACAATGGAGTAGTATGTAGCTGTTAGAAAAGATGAAGTCATGAAATTTACATACAAGTGGTACAACATGGAAAGTATCATGCTAAGCGAAATGAGTCAGAAAGAGAGGAATAGACATAGAAAGATTGCATTCATCTGGGGGATATAAAGTAACAAAATATGAGATTAATACCCAAGAATAGCTGAGATCAGCACCAGGAGGATTACTCCATAACTTAGAAGCCAGCCGGGTATTCTAGGGGAAAGGGCAGTTCAGATAGAGAAGGGAGCACCAAATAAAGGGTGTTAGGAGGATCCTCCCAGGAGGGGAGATGCATGTCGAAAGTAGACTATGGACTGAACATGTTTGCCACTCAATGCCTGTTTTGCAGACCACAACACCCAAAACGAGAGAGAGAACACAGGGGATTGCCCTGCCACAGAGGCGGGGGGGATGGGGGGATGGGGGTGGGGGGATATTATCCATGGTGGCGGAAAATGGGCACTGGTGGAGGGATGGGTATCTGATCATTGTATAATCGAAACCCAAGCACAAAGAATAGCAAATCTACAACTGTACCTCATGGTGATTCACTAATAAAAAAAAATTTTTTAAATGTTAGAAAAAAAAAAGAAAGGGATAGACACAGAAAGACTGCATTCATCTGGGGAACATAAAGTAACAAAATAGGAGACTAACACCCAAGAATGGCCGAGATTAGTGCCAGCAATTTTACTCCATGGCTTGGAGGCCAACCACACATGCTAGGGGAAAAGGTAGCTCAGATAGAGAAGGGAGCACCAAATAAAGGGTATTGGGATGATCCTCCCAGGATGGGAGAAGCATGCTGAAAGTAGACTATAGACCAAACATGATTGTCACCCATTGCCTCTTTTGCAAACCACAACACCCAATAAGAGAGAGAAAACAAAAGGGAATGCCCTGCCACAGAGGAAGGGTGGGATAGGGGGGATTAGGAGTGGGAGGGATATTGAGATCCATGGTAGTGGGAAATGGGCACTGGTGGAGGGATGGGTATTTGATCATTGTATAATTGAAACCCAAGCACAAAAATTTGAAAGTCTACAACTGTACCTCATGATGTCTCACTAATAAAAATTAAAAAAAAATAAACAACTAATAATTAAGGTTGATAATATTTTCATATATATGAGTATGAACTATAAGCATCAAAACAGCAAACCACACATTTCAGTTACTAGTCCTAAACTTTATTTCATATCTTTGTTATATAATCATATAGGGATTTAACCTACTTAGTATTTTGATAAACTAGAAACTTCTTTCTTATCAATTTCCATACCTATTTTGGCGACTCTTTGATCAATAATTCTTTGTTAGCACATTCTATAAGTAAAATCCTTAGGTAAACCATACTAACCATCTTCCAGTTTCTTTTACCATTTGCTCTTCTAATTTCTGTAGCTCTGATGTATAAGCCATTATCCGAGTGTTGCACACCATGAGATTCTTAACTCCACGCAAAATCTGGTCTTTTTGAGTGCTCAGAGAAAGAAGTTTCCGTATTCCTTCTCTCATTCGAATTTCAAAATTTAATTTTTCTTGAATGCTGCAGCCCTTAAGAAAAAAAGAAGAACTTTAGAAGAACAACCCCCCTAAATTCTAGCATCTTCTTTTTCCTTACAGATAGGAAAATGTATATATAATATCTTTTAGATTTTATACTAAATTGGGAAAGCAACAAAATGTTAACGTATGACAGGATTATGTGGGTGTTGGGGAGACAGTACAAAGGGTAAGGTGTTTTGCCTTGCACGTGGCCCACTAGGTTCAATCCCTAGTACTCCATATGGCCCCACCAGGAGTAATCTGAAAATCAAACCTTGAGAGTATTAAAACGTACTTTGCAAAACCCAATTTCTTGCTTTATTAGAAAATATTTACAACTTACTAAATAAACAGACAACAAAAGTGAAGGTGTGTTCCTAATTGGGAGCCAGAAAAATGGCAGCGCAGAAGGCCTGGGTTCAATCCCCAGCACAGAGAGTCTCTCCACTGGAACCAGGAATAGTCCCTACGTCCCACTGGGTGTGGCCAAAAAACCAAAGTTTGCATTGTGCCCCCGATATATTCCTGTCACCTCAGCAGTTCTGATTGTATCCTTATTTGGATATACGATTTTGAAAACCTAGTTAAGATAAAGTCATACAGCAGCAGTGTGGGACTTAAATGCACCCACTGATACCTATCTAAAGACAGAGAAAGAACTACCACATTGAAGACGTGTCAGCGATTGGAATCTACAAGCTTAAACACCAACATTGTCAACAGCCAGTGGAAGCTGAACAAGACTCTTAAGGGCTCTCAGCGGGAGCACGGCCTTGAGAAAAACTTGATTTCAGACTTCTGACTTCCTGACGAGAAAATAAAATTCAAAATACAAAATAAAACTTGGTGTTTGGCTATGGCAGTCTCGGTAAACTACTACAATAAGTAACGTGAACAATATGTAGCATGTGTACATACTATTTACCTGATACTGTGAGATGACAATATGTGGTTAATGAGAATGAATTAATCGAGAAACAACTTTCTGAAGGAGCAGCTGCTCAAATAGTTTAGAGTCCTATCGGACTGCCTGTCACATTAAACCATCTAAATAAAAGCTCAGAAGCATTGTGTTAAAATAAGTTTTACTACATTGAATAGATTTTTAGTAAAATTTTAGCATAAAGAAAGTCTCAGAGACATTTATAGTGGAAGCACAATGCTTAAAAAATGCTTATAAGAAGTTTTAACTACCTGGAAAAAGCACTTGGTATAAAGATTTAGTTTTAAAGTTCATCTTGAAGCTATTTAGGAATTTTAATTTTGAAAGTCATTTATTATGATAGTATTGGTAGTATTGTAATGGTCTGACTCTTTACATGTTTAAGATGCAAGATTAAAATTCCATAAACTAAAACATACCATTCTTATTAATTCATAGTGGCTCTTTAATTTTCTAGTTATAAATTTAAGACGCTCTACTATGTAATAAATGCTCCACTATATCTATTTCTAAAAATCAAGTAACCACTGTGCCTATTTTCATAAAAGAAAAATTACATAATTTACTTTTTAATTTGGGTCAAAATATTTATCCCAAAATGAATGGGATCAAAAGTTCTGGATATTAAAAAGATGGTCTTTTCATGAAGATAAACTGAAAGTTAAGAGAGCAGTAGTTCATGAAGATTTCCAAAAAGAGAAATTGTAGATGATTTAACTTGAGTACCCAAATTAATCAACTGTACTATTCACATGTAGAAAACAGATCTGTTTAATTGCTTTCTGTAATTACCTCATTTAATCACCACATAAAAATCTTATCTTGCAATATAACTCAAAACTACTGTACTATATAAACGTAGTAATTTGCTGGTTTTCCTTCTTAACACGTGACTAAATTTAAACAACTCCCTATCATGCTTATATAATTTGTCACTCTCAAAGTAAATTCTAGTGTAATGTAATAAGGAATTAATTATAAAAGTTATCTGTGACTCCTATGTCCATAGAAGTAACTCTGGCAGGCTGGTTAGTGGCAGAGAGTGCACAAAGGGTTCAACTTGAAGCTGGGATGAAAAAAAACTCACAATTCAAATGTAAACAATTACATCTGGTGCCACTAAATACAATTTGGTTTTTCAAAGGCTGAAGTCAGGCAGTCAGCTGACCTAGTACGTTGGTTCTGTCACATTGGCTCTGTAATCTGACTGAAACTTTATCAGAAAGGACCAAGTGTCCAACCTTATGACCACCTTCAGGAACAGAATCTTTGCAAATAAAGTCTGAGCATTTTTAAAAATTTCCTCTGGTTAAGAGTGAAGGTAAAGAACCCTGCTACATAACTTGAAACTTCGCACCAATCTGGAGAGTTGTAGCAACCTTCAAGGGCCAGTAGGTGGAAACAGCCACACTTAAGAAAACAGTTTGGACTTCTGGAATCCTGTTTTGTAAATATAGTCGTCTTCACTTGATAAAGAATAGACTCTGCAAAATTACAGAGACTTGGGAAGTAGTAAAGAAGTCAGGATTTTATTTTGAATCTTATTTTTAAGATTAAATATTCACTAAGGAAAAGTAATCTACCTGTCTGATACAAATATTAGTATCTATCATCCTTAAGTAGGCGTCAGTTAACTATGACCCGGATACTGCCTATTTATATAAAGTTTATTGGCAAACAGTCATTCCCATTCCTATTCTGTGGCTATTTTCAAGCTACAATGGTTAAGTAATTTTAACAGACTGTGTGATTTACAAAGCGAAAATATTTATTATCTGTCCTTTTACAGAAATTGTGGGCTGGAGTGATAGCATAGCGAGTAGGGCGTTTGCCTTGCACGCGGCCAACTTGGCCTACCTGAGTTCAATTCCTGTGCCCCTCTCGGAGAGCCTGGCAAGCTACCGAGAGTAACTCGCCCACATGGCAAAGCCTGGCAAGCTCTCTGTGGCGTATTCGATATGCCAAGCACAGTAACAAGACTCACAATGGAGACGTTACTGGGCCCGCTCGAGCAAATCAAAGGGAGGACAGTGCCACAGTGCAGTGCTACAGAAATTGTGTGCTGATCCCTAAACTGGCCAAATTTACTATAATAGTAAAACTATGACTCTACCTCCTCAACTAACTGTGAGTCAGGAAGATCCGGAGGGCTTAGAAAAGCAGAATAAATATATGTGTATGGGGCAGAAACAAGAGTGGTGGTGATCTCCTATTCACCAGTTTGGCCAAAAAAAAAAATTATGTGCCCAAAAGTAGAGAAAGAGTATGGGAGAAATTGTCTGCCATAGAGGCAGGGGGAGGGTTGGAAAGGGGAGGGTATACTGGGGACAGTGGTGGTGGAGAATGTCCTCTGGTGCAGGGGTGGGTGTTGTATGACTGAAACTCAAACATGAAAGTTTTGTAACTGTATCTCACGGCGATTCAATTAAAAAAAAAAGTTTGGCAATACTCAATTTGTACTATGTGATGAGGTCTTCTATGGACTACTGTATTATGTAAATCAAAATGTGATCTTTGACACAAAGTTGCAAATACATAGGAAGTTAATAGACTCATGCAGCACAAATGTTATGAATAAAAATGTGAGAAATTAATATTATTTTTATAAAATGCAATTACTTTTAAATTTGTGATCATTTTATCTTACTGTTGCAATAAATATTATAAATAATTATAAATATCAATCAAAACTAAAAAGTGTTGTTTTGTGAACTAAATTTACTAAAGAAATAATCCATATACTTAATTCTATGAAAAAATAAAAACAGAAAGTGTCAAAAAATATATATCATTATATCTAGGTCCTTGTGCTAGCTGGTGGAAGAAACTGATTTCATTAATAAATTTCGACAAAAATATTATTAATTAAAAAGCTTTATCTTTAGATAATGTGGGATATGAAGAATTTCTGGGGTAGGTATTGATTGTACACTACTATCCAGAGTGAGAAGAATGGCCGCATACTAAAGATACCCATTGCACAAAGAGGAAAAGCAAGCTAAACAAATCATCACCGCTGCCTCAGGCACAGAGACAAACCAGGACCAAGCAGGAACAACAGTAAGAAAAGCAGCCTTCCTGGTATCCATCCCTTAAGGACTGCTTGAATGAGTCTCTTGGAAGAGCAGAAAGTTTGCTGAGAGTCGTGCTCTATCTCGCCTTCAATTTTCCAAATAAGGGCTTGATTAAATCAAGTCAAGCAGAAACTATAGTATAACACAGACCTATTAAAATCCAGCCGATAAACTGACAGGGGAATGCTAAGAATGAAACTGAGAGATAGTATTAAGTGATAAATGATGATACAGAAAGGTTTATGTACAAATCTACACTTTTAAAGAACTAGAATCAGAGGTTCTTGAATTGATTTGGCCTAGGCCTCTTTTCAAAAAAGAACAATTACTCAGTTCCTCCCTGGAAATATACTTTCTCCAGGCAAACAAACAAAAAGCACCCCCAACTGTACCCCACTGCACATAGTGGAGGGGGTGCCCACTTTGGGAAACACTGTTTGCTACTAGTGTTAGTTATTAATGGTATAAAGAAAATATTCTCTGGTGATGGAGCTGCAGAGACACTACAGCAAGCAAAGTGCTTGCCTTGTAAGCTCCTGACCCAGGTTTCATTCCCATTTTCCAGATGGTCCCAGGAGCACTACCAGAAGTAATTCCTGAGGTCAGAGCCAGGAGGAACTCTTTGAGCATTGCCAGACCCCGAAACCAAAGAAAAGATAAAAAGAAAATAACCTCTGTTGAAACTAAGCACTGATTTAAACACACACACACACACACACAAACACACACACACACACACATAAAAGTTGGGCTGCTGTTAATAAAATAACTAGATAGAAATTATCATCCACCCAGTGAATATGGATAAACCAAGGAAGCTAAGCGATCAGATGGAAAAATAAAAGGTAGCCACAGAGTTTACAAGGCATATGCTCTCAAACAATTAGAAATTGTTAATAGGGTCAATTATGGGGACTGAGATTAAAGAAAATAGGTAAATTCATGTCTCATTCTATGTTTAATGAGACAGCATTATTTCTCAGACTTTTTTTTTAAATTTCAAAAGTTTAAACATTTGCAAAGGTAGGTGACTACCACAACTTGTGTAGATGAATGGAACAAAGGGAACGACATAAACAGTCCTCTCTCAAGCATGTTCTCAGTCTTGGACACTGTGGTATTTTTAAAAGGTTCTTAAAATCTGGTCATTTTTGAAAAAGATATCATGCCCATTCTCCAGTTGTGGAAACTGAGACTTAAAGAGATGGGTAATGGAGTCAGCACTGTACAACAGGGATTTCACCTTACTCCAAAGCCAATACTATACCTGTGAGTAAACTTACATGACTCCAGGTTTGAACGGGTCTAGGTTCTGTGACACCTCTTGTTCTATTCCTAAGAGATGGCAAGTTCCCTAATATTAAAGAAAACGTACCAAATAAAATCAGTGTTAGCCAAATAAAAAACTTTTACTAACCTTGATTATTCCTATTATGCAAAAATCTATAACCAGTTTCGCTTGGGGGATGTGGTGTGGGGTTGGGGGTGTGATGTGGTATGGGGATGTGATGTGGGGAGGGGGTGTGATGAGCTCCCCAACAGTGTTTTCACCCCTGGGTATCATTTTCTGCAATATTCAGATGTGTGGGTCTGATGGTTTCAGTCCGAGAGCCCAGGAATGCCAGGCTGCTCTGCCAGGTGGTGAATGTGTGTTGAGAGCATTACTAGGGTCTAGGCTATATGGTGCCCGCGACTGAACGTTGGTCACCTCTGGTGCTCTATGTTCACAACCACTGCCCCTCACTTTATGTATCTTTCCTCCAAACAGGAGGAAGTCCACAACTCAATTATTTGAATTTCTTGTTCCCTTTGAAGTTATTTGACATTGTACCTTTCCATATTTTAACAATTCAGACTTCATGTATGTTTAAATTCAAAGTAGCTGCTACATATTTCATGACCTTATCCTGTACCACTCCTAAATATTAGTATACTGTAGCACTGTTCTCCCGTTGTTCATTGATTTAATCGAGTGGGCACAGTAACGGTTCCATTGTGAGACTTGTTGTTACTGTGTTTGGCATATTGAATACATCGCAGGTAGCTTCCCAGGCTTTGCCTTGCAGGCGGGATGCTCTCAGTAGCTTGCTGGGCTCTCCGAGAGGGGCGGAGGAATCAAACCCAGGTAGGCTGGGCCAGCCGCATGCAAGGCAAATGCCCTACTGCTGTGTGATCGCTCCATAAATATATACATATATATGTATATATATACATACATACACATAAACACAGACACATGAACACACGCACACATACACAGAAAACTAAATGACTACACCAAACCTATATTAGGTGTAAAAGCGCGAATCAATGGCCAGTTGTTACTGGAAGTCGAGACTTTGTTATCAAGACTGACAAAGTACAGGCTAGGATATAGAAAAATAAGCATTTTATGTAAAAATCTTCAAAATTTTTGGAAACATAGATATGAAAAGACAAAAATTATGGCTAAAGGTATCAGAATTCTTGTATGAGTATAAATGACCAGCTTGAATTTACACAGTATTGCTAAAAACTTCCTAAGAATTTTGAATTTGCTGAGTAAATTCCAAATTTCAGAAATAAATAGATGAATAAATAAAATAAAGAGTCAAATGATTTAACCTACATCTAAAGTAGGTGAAAGAAGGTGGAGAGCAAGATTCAGCTCCAAGAATTCAGGTTTAGATTAAAAGCAGAAAGTCTGTGCGCGTGAGTGCATGAGTGCAGTGTGTGTGTGTGTGTGTGTGTGTGTGTGTGTGTGTGTGTGTGTGCGTGTCTGTGCATGCACGCAGATTCGCAGACTCCCCGCGTGCACGTCTGCGTGCGTGAGTGCATGAGTGCATGAGTGCGTGCTTGGTGCGTGCGTGCGCGTGTGTCTGTGTGTCTGTGCACGCACGCAGATCTGCACTTAGTCTTGCCCCTTGTGTTTGGCCACAACTGACTTCCAGGTGAGTGCGAAGCGCTCGGGAAGACCAGACCGAAATCAGAGCGCGAGGACTTGGAAGCTCGCTCCCCCGGGACTCACCTGCTGGGCGGGCAGCCCCGCCAGGCCGCCGTCGGGGCCTCTCCGCGTGTACCACTCCATCGCCGGGCACGGGGCCGGGGTGGGCCTCGGAAAGCCCCCGCCGCCGGGCCACCCCCCTCCGCCCGCCGCACCGGGTCCCCGCGCGGGCGAGTCCAGGAGCCCCAAGGGCTCGGCTGCCGCCTTAAAGCACTTTCGGGGCGTGGGCGGGCCGGGGCGGGGTGGGCGGGTCCCGGGCCAGCTCCGGCCACCGGGCGCGCCCGCCCGACGGGCCTCGCGCTTCTGGTGGTGGCCCTCACGGCGCGCCCTTCTGTGGGCAGCATGCGTCCCGTCCCCCGCAGGGCCGCGCCCCAGCGCTCAGGACCAGCTCCCAGAAAGTTGCAGTCTTAGGGTTGCTGCGGATGGTCGGGGGACACAGGGTGCCAGGGGGCCAACGGTGTGTCAGCCCGGACCGAGGGCACGTCGCCCCCACGCTCCCCCCAGCAGTGCGTCGGCTAAGCCCAGTCATTCGCCGCCTTGTGGATCTTGCTCCACGGTCCTGAGACTGTCTCGGGCACCGTCTTTGGTCCCGGCTGTTCTGGTAGAATTCCCCTGCCTTTCACCCAAGAAGTCTGTGGTGGTTTTTTTTTTTTTTTTTTTTAGTTTTTGCTTATTGCTTTTGTTTATTCCTTGCAGTATTCAAGGTGACAGCGGGAGAAAATCTCATCCCCCCACCCCACACCCCCCAGCCCATTTTCTTACAGTTTCTGAAAACCAATATTAAGACAAAGAGTTTTCTTATTGACCATAGTGGGAAAGTACGCAATCTTTACAACTAAAAGTCACTGTCACTGTCCTCCTGTTGTTCATCGATGTTTTGCTCAGGGGGCCCAGTAACCGCTCCATTATCACACTAGTTACTGTGTTTGGCATATCGAATATTTGGCATAGGGGTATGGCAGGGGTAGCTTGCCAGGCTTTGCCTTGTGGGCGAAAAACTCTCAGTAGCTTGCCTGCCTCTCTGACAGGGGCAGAGGAATCCAACCTGAGTTGGCCGGGTTAGCTGCCTGCAAGGGAAACGCACTAACCACTGTCCTATCGCTCCAAATAAAAGTCAATGTCCCACAATTTTAAGGCATTCATACGGCCCTTAAAACCTATTGCCTGTGGTCTATCTTGATTTCCTCTTGAAAAGGCAATAATGAACTTTATCGTTTTAACCCCCCCCCCCCCCACCATTCTCTTTTAGATCTCTTGGGCATCTTTTGTTCCAGCATCAGGACAAGCATGTACCTTACTTGGTTCAGTCTCTGGGTCCTGATCCAACTGCCCACCAATGTTGCCCTGCTGCCAAAGTGAATATTAGAGTTTTTGGTCATATTATTCACAAAGCCCTTTTAGATACTGGTGGTTGGAGGATAGATCTCTGAAAAGATTCGCCTTTTTTTGAAGTGATTTAGAATAGGGCATGACCTTCCTTGCCCATTAAGAATGCATTGATCAGTAGAAAAATCATATCCTTCCACACAGCATAAAATACTACAGCTCAAATGAATAACACAGTTTGTGTTTCACAGCTAGTCTGAATTCCAGAGACATTAGGTACTCTTTCAGAGTGCACACCTCTCTTTTGAGTACCACTTTGTGGTATAATTTTGTGGTATAATTAACCCCTATTCCAAGTGAGCTGACTGAGCTTAGTATAGTACCTGACTCATTAAAGAAATACACGCAGAGAACTCACCATCAGACATATATTATTTCTCATATAACAAACACAACCCATGGCTCAAAATACAGAAGCCATCATCTAATGAAAACAGTCTCAAGTTAACCAATTTAAAGTAAAGTAAAGGCCCTCCCGTTGATCATCGATTTGCTCGAGCGGGCCCAGTATCGTCTCCATTGGAGAATTTGTTGTTACTGTGTTTGGCATATCGAATACGTCACGGGGAGCTTGCCAGGCTCTCCGAGAGGGGCGGAGGAATCGAACTCGGGTCGGCCATGTTGGCTGCGTGCAAGGCAAACGCCCTACCACTGTGCTATCGCTCCAGCCCTTACTGCTGTGCTATCGCTCCAGCCCAATTTAATCATCATCTAATGAAAACAGACTCAACTTAACCAATGAACACTGATGTATATACTAAGGTAAAGGTAAAGGTAAAGGCCCTCCCGTTGATCGTCGATTTGCTCGAGCGGGCCCAGTAACGTCTCCATTGGAGACTTTGTTGTTACTGTGTCTGGCATATCGAATACTCTCGGTAGCTTGCCAGGCTCTCCGAGAGGGGCGGAGGAATCGAACTCGGGTCGGCCATGTTGGCCGCGTGTAAGGCGAACGCCCTACCCGCTGTGCTATCGCTCCAGCCCAGTATATACTATATATGTCTATATATAATAGGTATACTATCAAATACTGTGTATATGACTGAAGATGCTTATAACATTAAAACACTGATAGCACAGTGGTAGGGCATTTGCCTTGCACACGGCCAACGTGGCCGACCTGAGTTCGATTCCTCTGCCCCTGACATCATGAGGTATGTGGTATATGGGCAAGTGGACGTGGCTATTAAAGAGATCTGAGTAGAAGTCATGAATAATCTTCTCCATTGCCCTTCTGGAAGATGTGATAGATCCATCATGATGTCGGAGGGCAGTCATCTTGGTTTTGTAGTTGGTGAAGGACAAGCGGGCATTACGAATGTTTTTCCCAGCTTCTGCTGCATCTACCAGTACTGCTGCTCTCCTGTTTTTGAGGTCATCCTTGATGGCTTCTCTGCACAGCTTTGCCAGTTCGGATGTTCGCTTGTGGTTGCCTGAGACATGTGCCAAGCCACGTTGGCGAATAAGTTCAAGAGTGTTCGAAGAAAGGCGGTTTTTTGTGGTTACCTCTCTCTTGGCATTCCTCGCACAATCATGGAGGTGCTGAATCATTCGATCGTATTCCTCATCAATGTTGTCAATGACAGCATCTTCCCATGTTGCCGCAACAGATCCAAAGAGCTCCCAGTTGGTGGTCATCCTGGGAGTCCTCTTCTTAAACCTTGCATTCTTTTCTCCTCATTCTGTGAGGTAGAATTTTGCGTGAAGAAGACGGTGGTCTGATCCCTTTTGGAATTTTGGGACAACAGCAACATCGGTTAGGCAAAACCGCCGATTGAATATGATGTGGTCTATTTCATTGTGGAACCGTCCATCGGGAGACTCCCATGTTCAAAGTTTAGATTCAGCCTTTTGGAACTGTGAGTTACCATGGAAGGTTTTGGTTGACATGATGAACTCAGACAGTCTGTCACCCTGTTCGTTCCATTCCAGACCATGAGTCCCGATGTGGAGTTCATCGACTGATCTTCTTGGTCCTATCTTGGCATTAAAATCACCGACAATGATCTTGTAGAAGGTGTGATCTTCTTTATAGAACTTCTCCAGCTCCATGTAGAACTTATCAGTTTCTCTTTCACCATAACTGGATGTTGGTGCATAGACAACAAAGATAGAAACTGCCGGTAGTGAGCCACATCTATTCAAGTGTAATCATCCGATTCGGGTTGTTAGGCTTTCGAATGAATCAATGCTCGTGGCTAAGTTTGTGTTGACAAGGATACCGACACCACCGACGCCTCTTTTATCACATGTTCCAAGGAAGAGTTCTTCTCCAGTGTCGAAAACGGCATGATGTGATTGATGTCTTCTTGTTTCGGTCAGACCAATGATGTCGTACTTGATCTTTCGCGCTTGTACCATAAGGTCTTCAATGGATGCAGTAGATGCCAGCGTACGAGCATTAAAAGTACAGACAATCATTTTTGTTTTTCTGCGTTTTGGCAGCCTCCTGCCTTGGTATTTTATCAGCCTCTCCTTCCATATCCTTCTTGAGTCTGCGTATTCAGGGTTAGGGGAATGAGATCCATTTATTACTGGATTTGGCATATCAATTTGGCATAGACCACGGATAGCTTGCCAGGCTCTGCCGTGCAGGTGGGATATTTAAGGTACCCTGAAAACTTAGAGAAAAGTAAAGAAATAGTCGCGCGGCTGCGAATGCAGCCGCGTGCTCCTGGGAGCTTGTTATGATAATCTCTGGATCCTGGCCGTTGTTGGGGTTACATGGCAGTTGGAGGGCGTAACTGTCTAGCTACTGACAGGTCCAGTCCCAAACCGTGCAGGCTTGGAGATCTCAGCCAAACATAGTAACAACAAATTTCACAATAGAGCTGTTACTGGGCCCACTCGAGCAAATCGATGAACAACAGGAGGACAGTGCTACAGTGCTACAGGAAAGATCTTTCTAATAATTTATTTCAGAAAAGTTTCTACCAAAGACCATTATCTTTGAAAGTGTTTTTGTCCTATCTCTCTATTACTTATCAAAAGGTATGCCCAAGGAGGTGCTTATTATATAACTATTGTACAGTGAACAAAATAGCAGAGTAAAAGAATATAAACAGTATGAATACTATTTATTTATCCACAGGTATTTTTTTTGTTAAGGCTAGTTCCATTAAATATAGTTTTCTCTGATGTATGCAGTATACATAAAAAATAGAATAATCTTTAAAGACTATCAAAGGTTAAAGATATCACATTTGATTATCTTGAGAGTGAATCAATGTATGAATGAGTAAATTTAGCCAAAAAGTAAGAAGCAGCACATTTCACCATCAAAAACCTTTAGGCATCTCTCATTTTAGTGAGAGCTTTCCAGTCTTCTTGTCTTCTGCAGTAAGAAGGTGCTCATCCATTTGTGCAGATGTTGCAGCCTCAGCTGGAAGTTGAGTGATGGAAATACTAGCCTAGCTATATAACTTTACGATATAAATTTAAATTGAACATTTTGTGCTAAGTAATGGATCAGTTATACTTAATATGGAAATTAATACTAAACATTTAATTAATAAAATATAAAATAAGTATTTGATTATATAGTATTGCCAATGTAAGTAATAAATGTTAGAGTATATCTTTCTTCTCTTTATTTCCCTTTTTAACTTTCTAAAAGACCCAATGAAGCAAAAGTACTAAATTTTAATTCAAGTCTGTTGTGTAATATACCTATTATTTTTAAAATTTTAAATTGTTCCAGA